GGGGAACAGAATGCGCGTGGATAGACCTGCAATTTAATAAAAAATATGTTATTAATTAACTCTTCTGAAATAATATACGTCATAATACATACACAGTTGTCTTTTTTAAATTGATCATCAACGAAATTTATGTCGACTTATTCGATATCAGTTCGAATTCGATATGTTTTCATTACACGATGATGCGAATAATTGAATAGCATCCATTGAATTCCATCCTCATATTCAAAGGGTATTTCAGAAATCACTGGCGTGTTATTAAAATTAATACTAGTATTATTTGTATTATTGTTGATAAGATACGATGCGGTGGCTTCATTATTATTTGATTGATTCTCAAGATAAACAGGTGGATATTCAATAAAGATTTTGCTAGGTTTAGAGGCAATAAATTGATAGGTTTGATGATGGGCTTTATGATGTTCTTTTTGTTGAAACCCAAGAGAAGTAAGAGTACTTGTGATATGATGAATTGGCAATGGTTGTTGCTCTTGCATTGTACCGAAATTAAAGTCATAGCCAGAAGAGATATTCCCAGGAAAAGCATCTTGCTGTTGAAGTTGTTGCACAGAATCTATCATACTATTATTATTATTTTCAGATTCGATCTTTCTAGGAGGGGCAACATTTCTTTTATAACCACCGATTGATCTGGATTTGCGTGTTTTTTTATCAATGCGGAATCCTTTAATAGGATGTTTTAGAGAACTAATTTTCTTCTTTTTAACTCTTCAAATTTTTCTCAATCGCGGTCAGTTGCTCTTGAGTCAATAATATAATTCCAAATATGAATGCTCTTTAAATAAGAGGAGTAATCAGTCAACATATTAAAGCATTGTTTACTTTATAGATATAATCTGGTACTACACTATTAGTAAAACAATCCATTGAATATCTAAATCATATTAGATTGATACTCTTCCCTCAAAATTCTCTATATAATAATTTGCTCGTTGTACTAAGATTGGGATTGTCGGCTAAATCTTCTTTAGATTTAACGACTAATTCGTAAACTTCAATATAATCAAATGATTTTTTTAACAATCCCTAAAATAATACAAAATTAATTAATTAGTATATACTTTTAATAAGATAATTATTAACAATATAAAAAGGGTATATGACTACTCTTAAAAGTGCAAAAAAATTACTTTATCAGAACAATTAATTACAACGATTTTTCAATGAGCTACTCGTAAACTCTATATTAGCTATAGTAATTTATCTTCCCTTTTTTACCCTTTACATTCCCACTTTCGAGTATTATTTTAGTATCACTAGCAAATCGATTGATAAACTTATCCGGTAACTTATCTACTTAATATCGTGTAGGTCTTACTGATCAGGCTATTAGGCTATTAAATGCATATTGTGTCACTGTGTCACTCTGCCAAGTTCGCTTTGCCCACTCGATCCTGCGAGCTTTGCATATGAAGCAGCAGAAAAAATTATTCTTCTGTGAAGTTCAGGCCTATAATCGTGAATTTTTTCCTAGGAATGTTTTTTTTGGAAAAAGCAAACAACACACCTTGTTTGATCGTCTTCCGTGACACAGCAACTTGATCTACAATATTGATATCACTCGACCATGAGGACCGGGATCGGAAAAGTCGGATCGAACAGACTCACGTGACCCTACCTTTTTTCCGCCATGGCTAGGGTATCTGTCCTTTAATCAGGGTCTTCTAGATTAACCAATAAAAATGCATAAATTTTTTATCAATTCGGCAAGACAAATCCGACACAAGAAAATTAAAAATGAAATATACAGAAAACGAATGCTTAAATCTGCCTTGAAGCACTAATAAAAAATGTCGGAGAAGCAATTTTACATATAACCTTGATCTTCACTCTAACCCTAACCCTAAAAATTAACCTTTAATATCCTCAACCAATCAGAACTTGGTGGAGAATTAGTAAATTCCCGTTTCTGTTACCATTGCCTATATTTCCATTTCCGTTACCGTTTCTGTTTACGCTGCCTCGTTTTTCGATTATATTGTTTTTTGATTCCGCTACTGTTTGTGCCGAAACTTCTCTCGATCACGATTGCTATATACGATAATAAAATGACAAAAAGTATTTTTGTTACTTTGCAAAACTTTTGGTTCTCTTTTCTGAATAATAAATAAGGATAAAAGAAGTTTGGGGAGAATGACAGCTAACAGTTAGTAAGAACTCTTTATATTCTCGCGTGTTTAAATTTTGTTATATATTTTTTTGGCTGTGTAATTGGATCAGATTGGCTGCAACTCGACTTAAATACATGTAATTTGAATTAGGACTCGATCTTTTGGTTATATAATGAAAGTACACACAATTCTTCAATAAAACTTAAAAACTAAAAATTAAAATTTTCAAAAGATAATTAATTAGGTAAGCATTTATAATTTAATTAAAAAAATAAATTGAATAATCAAATTATAGTCAAATCAATTTTGGTTTTTGGTTTATAAAAAATGAATGTAACGATGGAGAAATTATTAATAGTGATAAGTTTAATATTAAAAAAGCAATTTATTGTTTTGTAGGTGTAAAAATTAAGCATATAAATTAGATAAAAGTTGCACAACATTTTTGTACAAGCGCAGAAATTCATATATAACGATAACATTCAAATTACTCTGACTACAGATAAATCAGATAGTGCTGAGCAGAATTAATGATATTAGCACATACATGTATAACATTATTTAACCTCCTGATTGGTAGTGCGTAAAATTTAGATTTGAATTTTAAAATGAAGGCCTTGGAGACAATAGTGTGTAATAGGGTACGTGTTCAAGTATTTGACATGTTTTATAATATATTATATCAGAAATAAAGTGAAAAAACTATTATTTATCATTTATAAAATTATTTCATATTATTCGATGGAATTACCAATACATTCAAGTCTTTTTATAAGAACGTACTTTTTAAGCTATATAATTCACATACAGTGGCCGTCATATGTTTTGCATCACGTAAATAAAAAAATAATAATGGTAATATCTCGTGATTTTACACGTTATTGACATGTGCAAATAAATACATGTATATACAAAAAGGGAAACTAGAAGTTCCTTACAATTCATTTTTGGAAATAAATCAACAAAAATGTAATATTTCAGCGATGCGTTTTTTTTACTGTTTGTTCGTTCAAAGTAAATCCATATAACATTTCCAAATTTTATAACAAAAAATATATAAAAGTTATACCTATTAGTATAGTTTTTCATTTTATTTTAATAAACATATTGCTAAATCAATATGGGTCGTATCACTATCGATCAAAGATCACGAATTTCTGCCCTTCTTCAAGAAGGATTCTCTTCCCGTTATATCGTATCAAAAGAAAATATTGCGCAATCTTCTGTTATCCGACTTAAAAAAAAATAGAAACTACTGGTTCTGTAAAAGATTTACCAAAATCTGGCCGCCCACGATTTTTTACAGACCGTGATGAATATAATATTATACGATATATTTCGAGTGGTGAATGTACTAATGCTGTATCGATTCAAAAAAATTACAAACTAATAATAAAATCAATGCAAGCGATAGTACTATAAGAAGAACTTTACGTAGAAATGGTTTTTCTGCTAGAATTAAACAAAAAAAACCATATTTTAAAGAAAACATCGAAAATTGCGTTTAAAATTTGCTAAGAAATACAAGGATTGGATGGTGAATGATTGGAACAGGGTGATTTGGTCAGACGAGTCTAAGTTTATGATTTATGGATCAGACGGTCGTGAATATTGTTGGAAACGCAAAAATGAATCACTACGGTCAAATTTGGTGGCGGAAGTATTATGATCTGGGATTGCTTTTCTTCCTTCGGTGTTGGTAACATCGTATGCATTTTTGGCACCATGGATAAGGAATTATACTGCGAAATTTTGAATGATGACTTGTTAGGAACTATCGAGCATTATGAGTTGGATAAGAATAATATCGTTTTCCAACAGGATAACGATCTGAAGCATACAGCTAATTTAACGGAGCAATAGTTCTACGATAATGATATTGAGGTATTAGAATGGCCACCACAATCTCCCGACCTCAACCCTATAAAACATCTCTGGAATGAGATGGACATACGTTTGAGAAGGTTAGAAAATCCAGTTCGTACTCAAGATGAGTTATGGGAAGCTATTCAAAAAATATGGATAGAAACAGATCATAACTTTTTAACTAGTCTAATTGAAAGTATGCCCGAACGAATAAATGATGCAATTGAGGCTAAAGAAGGGTATACAGAGTGGTAAAGAATAGTTTATTTAAATTTCGTAAATTTTTAGTCGTTAGTTATTTAAATATCAGTTTTAAATTATTTGCATCGTAAACAGTAAAAAAAAACGCATCATGTAAAATTGCATCAATCATTATTATTTCAATTTGGTGCTTATCAACTAAATAAAGAATTATATTTACATGTTTTGCAAAATTTGGTAAACAATATGCGTCGGAATTTGTGAGTTTCAGATGTTTGTATGTAATGTTAGTGAATTTACAATTTTATTTTTTATGTCATTTGACCTCTCGTTTCTATGGCAAAACCAATTGTTGCTACCGTTTTGTTTTCCGTTATGTGATTCAGTTGAAGTGATCATTTTGGTTAAATGGCCTATTTCCGCTTTGACTTCCAATATTGCTGTTTCCGTTTTTGCTTCCGTTGTTACTTCCAGTATTGCCTTTTCCATTTTGATTTCCGTTGTCACTTCCTGCATTCGTGACCCCATTTTCGTTTCCATTGTTATCTCCAATATTGTTGCTTCCATTTTGGTTACCGTTGGCGGTTCCATTATTTTGGTCTCCGTTAACATTGCCATTGAGTGATCCTTTATTATTGATTCCATTTTGGTTACCGTTAGCGGTTCCATTATTGTTGTTTCCGTTAGAATTGCCATTGAGTGTTCCCTCATTATTCCTTCCATTTTGGTTACCGTTGGCGGTTCCATTATTTTTGTTTCCGTTGGAATTGCCATTGAGCGATCCCTTATTACTGCTTCCGTTCTAATAAATATCATTGATTTAACCATAATTTCATATAACAAGAATTTAAATTTTTACAATACCTGATTTCCATTACTATCACCCGTATTCTCATTACCGTTCTTGTTTCCATTAAGATCACCAGTACTATTATTACCATTCTAAATTAAGGTCCAAATTAAGAAATAATTTGAAGATACAAATACGTATTGAGTTCTTTTATATCTTACCTGATTACCATTGAGCGATCCTTCATTATTGACACCGTTAGAATTTCCGCTATATGATCCATTATTATCGTTCCCGTTCTTATTACCTTATACGTAATAATAAATACAGGAAAAAAGTATTATTAAATAATTTTATAGAAAAAGCAAAGTAATAAAATATTGAAAATTACCATTAGAGTCACCATTGTTATTAACGCCATTCGAGTTTCCACTGAATGAGCCGTTATTATTATTGCCATTTTGATTTCCGTTGAACGATCCGTTATTTGAATTACCATTACTATTTCCATTAAAGCCACCATTGTTCAAATTACCATTCGCCACACCGTTAAAATCTCCTTTGCTATTGTTACCATTATTGTTACCATTGGATGTTCCATTGTTTTAATAATTAGACCATTAACACAGGAAATAGTAAAAGAAGTAGATTTTGCTCCTTTGGAATTATTTTTTGACTACCACTATTGTTGAGGGTAAGAAATCGAAATGAATTCAATAGGTAAACAAAACATCTAGAAAATAACTTTACTTACTTAGAATTTCCATTAAAGTTTCCGGTACTATTGTTTCCATTATTATTACCATTATTATCACCATTATTATTATCACCATTAGCATTGCCATTAGAATCTCCGGAGTTATTGTTTCCATTTGCATTCCCGCTGCCACTTCCAGTGTTGTTATTCCCATTTTCGTTCCCATTTTTGTCTCCGGTATTGTTATTCCCACTGGTGTTACCATTATTGTCACCCGTATTGTCATTACCGTTCTTATTCCCATTTCCAGAACCGGCGTTATTATTTCCACTTGCATTTCCGTTATTCGAACCAGTATTATTGTTTCCGTTTCCATTTCCGTTGTTTGAGCCAGCATTGTTGTTTCCGTTACCGTTTCCGTTATTTGATCCTTTATTTCCATTTCCATTACCGTTTCCGTTACCATTGCCTATATTTCCATTTCCATTACCGTTGCCGTTTCCGCTACCTCGTTTTTCGGCTGCGTAACCGGCTTCGTAAATGCTTTTTTCGATTGGTCGTGCCGAAACTTCTCTCGATCCAAATGAAAGGATCACAATTGCTATACACGATAATAAAATAACGAAAAAAAGTCTTTTTGTCATTTTGTAAAACTTTTGGGTTCAGAAGTTTGATGAGGATGCCAGCTAACAGTAAGAAAGAACTCTTTATATTCTCGCGTGTTATAAAGTCTAATTCTGAATCAGATTGGCTGTGTAATTGAATCTGATTCTGAATCAGATTGGCTGTGTTTATTCCGTGGCTGTCAATTTTCTTGCAACTCAGCCCAAATAATCGTTAGCAATCATTATTTCCGGGATCAAATGAAACTTCTTTTTGAAGTGTATTCTTTAAATTTATCATATTTTGCCACCATTTATTTGCTTCAAAGAAATCCAAGTTAATATGGTGTATTCATTTAAATTAGGAAAAATCTTTGGTATAACTCGATCTTTGCGGGCAGTGTTAGGCAACTGGACTCAACTGGACATATAAAAAATTACGCAATGGACTACTGGAGGTATATATAAAAATTTTATAAGTCCAGTGGACCAAAATTTCAATAAAAATGACTGGATTTAGTACAGTGCCCAACACCGCTTGCAGGACACTGGAATCATTGAACAATGAAAGTACACAAATCCTTCGCATATAATTTTTCGACTGAGTTATTCATATAGGAAGAGGTCAATAGAAAACGAGCAAATTTTATTGACTCTCCTAAGCCAAAAAATTATGGTCTATTCTTAATCCCATTCATTAATGATAATCTTTTTCTCGGCAAAACACCGATATTTTTTTAGTCTGGAATTTCAAACGGCTTGTTAACCGGATCTGAACAAAAATTATTCTGGATTTTTACAGGGTAATTTTTTGGTTGACCCGTTACTCATTTCATATAATTACCAGCTATTGACGCTAACGCGCGTTTTGGGATATTCGACGAATTGACACGTTCACGTGATTCCAATGTGTGCATACAAATTTATTTATAGATGAGAATAGGAAAAGTGACGTATTTATTTGAGTGGTAGATTAACATATAAATTTCATAACGCGCGTTCTTCGCGCTGATCACCAGATTTTCATGCGTCAAATCGTACTGTTGGTATTTTTTTTTCCAGATATCAGAATCTGAGAATTCTTTCATCAATACGAGCAGAACGATAAAATTATCGCTTGTTGTATTGACTTGCCATAATAGTATAATAATAGTTATTATTTACTACATAACCCAAAAATACTTATTGCACACATAGGGTGCGTGAAAATCGAAGTGTGTGTTAAAAAAAATTACAATCGTTTTTTATTTACTCAGGTTTATCAATCGATCGAGAAACAATGACGCCACTTTTCTCAAAAACGATATTTTCTAAAAAAGACATGAATGACATCAATCATTCGTTCGTGTGTGCGTATGTCTCGATGTTTTTTTTTGGTTTTTGATGTTTTTGCTATTGAAACGAACTAAGCGACAAAGCGCGGCGACAACATATATATGCTTTATATAGATATATAGCGACGGCGAAGTTAATCGATGTTTACGATGACGAAGATGATGATATAACGATAATGATATAATTAATGGAATCTATAAATTATTCAATGGTTTCTTCTTTTCATTGTTTTTAAAATGGGAGACGAGTCAATAAATAATTATCATAATAGTCATCATATAATTATCATCATATTTATCTTTGTCATCATCACATCAAGAAAGCGAAAAAAAGTAAATGATACTACACTTTTTTGGGCGATTATCTCATGAATGATGAATTCAAATAAAAGACCATCAAGCTTCCTCCCTTTTTTTCCTGCGTTTTTGCACACTTATTAAAAAATCAACTAATCAATCAATCAAACTTTGCATTAATTAAAACAATAACGATAAACACGCGAATCGTTCATCTTTTTTATGAATAACAATGAGTAGTAACACTGTATCGAAACGATTATCTGTACATGAACTTTGCGAATCAGATAAACTTCCATTAATTCAACATTTTCGTCCCCATAATAATTTTCGTCCCCATAATAATAATAGTAATAATAATAATACTAGTGATAATATTTCATTCGAACAAAAGACATCAGATGGTTTACTTGGTAAACCAGTGGCACTCAACTTTCAGTTAAACTTTCTTAATGACAAGAATCTAAATCAACAAGAACAGACTCGCGAAAACACGTATCAAATGGTGATACCGAAACAAATCGACGGTATAACAACATCAAATCGAATAATCGCAACAAAAACTTCTGATATTTCGCAAATCAATCCCAGTACCAATTCTTGTTCTCCTCAATCAACCACAACACACATTCTAGAATCAATCGCCACTATATTCTCCGGCACAAATGAACCTCATAATAACTGTGAATTTTCACCGTACAACCAAGAACAAGAGTCTATCGCCGAGCAAGATTCCGCATCCTCGCACGAAGATACCCTTCACCCGACAGCACAAGTATTACTTCAAGATCGACGACATCGTAATCTTATCGCAAGTAAAAAATATCGTGCAAAGAAACTGGCATCAGAAAAAGCAATGTACGAGAAAATGACCAATTTAACAAAGGAAAGAATGTTATTGACTAAAGAGAACGAAGCTTTGAAACTGGAGAATGAATCATTAAAGGCAATAATTTCGCGATTGAGTGAGCAACTGGTCGAACAACGGATTGCCAATCGACAGCTTGACAATAATATTGGCACGTCTAACAATAGCATGGGAATTATCGCGGAAAATGCGAAGCCAAAAGATAATAAACATAGGTCAAAAAGGAAAAAAACTGAGCCAAGTGATCACGGCAAGAAAAACAATCCAATCCGGGTGTGTGATGATTTCGAATCTGATTGAAAAAAATAGTTTATTATCTTGCATCAAAAAATTCACATTATCATTTTATTATTCCTAATATCATGATATTCCTATTCGCAATATTACATATCTTTAGCATTAGCTAAATATCCCTATAAATAAGTTGATAGTTGGGAACATGACTTTTCTCAAGAGGGCATTTAACAATCTTTTTACCACGCATAGCACCACGATATATTACTTCCACAAGATCAATAAAGTCTTGCTTTGTCATGAATGATCCAATAAATTTAGTATGATCTGGTGTACTGCATGAATGAGTGAATGAATGAATGAATGAATGAAATGAAATGAATGAATAAAGGATCACAGAGTGTTATTACTCACCCATAATCAACCTTCATATGTTGAGCATTAAAGAAAAAAACCGTTGCTGGAATTAAGGAAATATCAAAGTATTGTATGTATTCCGGGACGTTATCCACTTCAACAGTATAAATTACTGCCATTTTTACAAGCTCAGGTGCCGATTTTGCAAGCTTATTTAAAATTTATCACGAGATGATATTTAGAGTATGATGGATCGAAAGATGACTGATTCACCACTTACGATATGATCTAATTCTAGACATACTGCATCAGCCGCGCGTCCAAAGCGCAACACCACTACAAGTTCTTCAGTGTTGCGGATTACTGCATCAATCTCGGATTTTGTGTTGAGAGTTGGTAGAAGAAAGCTCATTTGTTGTGGATGTGGAAAAATAATGTGCAGTTACACTCGGATCTAGATATGAATTAAAATGGCATAATTTGCTCACATGCACATCATACACTAAAAGATTCACTTTTTATTTATCTTTGCGTCATTGATGCCTTTTTGACGTTATCAATAAAAGATCGATCATTAATCAACTATAAAAATCAAGATCGTAATCGATTAAATTTTAAAAAATGTCCGATCAAAAAACTCTTGGATCAATTTTCTCTCATTCATCAACTTCACACGCACTAATAATTCCTCCTTCAGAAAATAATGACAATCCGCCAATAAAACTTTACTATCCAGACCTTAAAACACAATTAACTTTTTTCCAAGATCAACTCTACAGTCTGACAAACATCCAACAACAACAGCCAATTGCAATCATTCTTCCAAATTCGTTGGAATTCTCGATCACTTTTCTGGGTGTCACGTTATCACGTAATATTGCTGCGCCATTGAACCCGAATTACACTTTAGATGAATTTAAATTTTATGTGGAGGATTCGCAGAGCAAAGCTGTGATTGTGCCACGTGGCGCTTTTGAAAAAAATACACCGGCAGTTAAGGCTGCAAAAGAGTTTGATGTTGCGATTTTGGAGATTTGGTGGGATTTGGCGGATCAACAAATTAAATTGGATTTGAAGAGAGATGTAGAGAAAAATGCAAACAAGTTCAAAGCGCCAAAAGGTGCTGATGTTGCATTACTTTTGCATACTTCTGGGACTACTGGACGCCCCAAAGGTACATTCTGATAATCAATCAAGTGATTTCATCATCCAATTATTAAAAATATATTATATTATTATCCATTTAAAGGTGTACCTCTTACACACAATAATTTGACAACTACCATGAATAATATCGTTAGGACTTATAAACTCTTACCAGAAGATCGTACATTGTTGGTGATGCCTTTGTTTCACGTGCATGGATTGATGTGCGGATTATTGGCTACTCTATTATCTGGGGGCACTGTAGTTATCCCTCCAAGATTTTCAGCGACCACTTTCTGGAAAGATTTTTTGGAAAATAAATGTACTTGGTATACAGCTGGTGAGTTTCGCCTCAAATTGTAGAATTAGACGAGTGTATCCAAAAATAAGGGTGATGTTCGATTTTTTTATTTATTAATAGTTCCAACCATTCATCAAATCTTACTCCGTCATCCACCACCACCAAACGGAGTACCAAAGATACGGTTTATTCGTTCTTGCTCTTCATCACTTGCTCCAGTTACACTTCTTCAGCTTGAACAAGCATTCAAAGCCCCGGTACTTGAAGCATATGCGATGACAGAAGCAGCCCATCAAGTCACATCAAATCCATTACCACCTGCACCGCATAAACCCGGATCGGTCGGAATTGGACAAGATGTTCAAGTGGCAATTCTAAATGAGAATGGCGAACCAACGCATGAAGGCGAGGTTTGCATCAAAGGTGATAATGTCACCCACGGCTACATAAATAATCCCTCTGCCAATAAATCTTCATACACAAAGGATGGTTGGTTCCGAACAGGAGATCAAGGCAAATTCGATGAAGAAGGATATTTATTCTTGACCGGTCGTATTAAAGAGCTGATTAATCGAGGCGGCGAAAAGATCTCGCCGCTAGAAGTTGATTCGGTGTTGTTATCACATCCTACAATTAGTGAAGCAGTTTCTTTTGCCGTGCCTGATGAGATGTACGGGCAAGAAATACACGCGACTGTTGTTCTAAAGAAAGAGCAACAAGGAGATCGTAGCCCTCAAATCACCGAAAACGAAATCCAAAAATTTTGTGGGAAAAGACTGGCCAAATTTAAAGTGCCGAAACGCGTTTACTTTACTGATCTAATGCCGAAAACAGCAACCGGCAAAATTCAACGGAAAAATATTTCCGAGATTTTCTTTAATTCCAAAAAGTCAAAACTTTAAACAAAGAATTTATTACTTTAAAATACTCATTCTATCAGTACATTGTTATATAATTTGATTGGATTCTATATAATAGTTACAGTGCAGGACACTTAAAGACGCCAATAAAATTAGTCATCTTTAAAAGGAGGATCTTTATACAAAGATCATACAAAAAAAAGGAGGCTGCTATTTTGTAGTAAATAGGTCTAGCTACAAAATAACGATCCTCTTTTTAAAAAATAATCACTCATTTCTGATTAGGAAACTCATTATGATCGATTAGTGATTTGAGCTGCTTCAAAATTCTGTAGCCTGCTTAGCATGATTCACAGATATCAGTTAGCCAGCTCAGCGATTTGAAAATCATTACCATATATAGTAAAAAATAAAATCACATGATTTTGGGAATTATTCATTTTTACTTTTTTTAATCCTGAATAAATATTAAACAATATAGAATTTTTCTTTAAAAACAAATTAAAAGATTTAATTGATTGTACTTATTAGTAATTGTATTTCCTATATTTGAAAAAAGTTATTTTGTAGAAACAAATAATATAAGTATAGCTAAATAAATTCATGCTTGTTCTACAAGATTTAAAAGAGTGTTTTTGTAATTATTTTTCTATTTAAGTAAGTTGTATTTGTTATAAAATTCATGTTTTGTTTTATACTTAAAACACTTTGACATATATTAATAAATTTTAAGCTTAATATTCAAAGAAAAACAAATGCTAATCCAGAATTATTGAATAATAATATCATTATATTATAAAAAATATTGTTTATAATTGTACTTTGTTTCAATTATAAATATTATCATTTTAAATTTAGGATCAAGAAAGACTATGAGTTAAAGTTCTGAAAAAAATCTGGTTCAGTTCAAGTTTGATTCAGTTCGAGCTTGAATCTGATTTGAACCTAATTAAAAATTTGATTTGAAAATTTGAACCTAATTAAAAATCTGATTTGAATTTGGTTTGAACTTTAAATCAAACTTGAATCTAATCAAAAGTTTGGTTCGAGTTCAAGTAAATATTTGTTGATATTCTAAGTAAAATTGTAAATCTTAACATGAGCTACAAATTAATATAAAATAGTTAATATTTAAAATGAATATTATATGAATTTAAAAAATAATTTTAATTATTATAATTTTAATCTGCTTTAGTTTTAGTATAATAAATATTTATTTTGCTATAATAATTATAAATTATAATTATAAGTAAAGTTATAATCAAAAATAAGAGCTACAAATTGATATAAGATAATTATTATTAATAATAATTATTCAGAGAATTATATAGTATTTATGATCAAATTTAATAAATATAAATATAAAAATAAAAATGCTTTAGTTATCACTATATAAATTTTTAATTCTTTCTAAATACTATAAATTGTATTTATAAGTAAAGTTGTAGCTTATATTTAGAGTTACAAATTAATATATAATATTATATGCAGATTTTTAATCAAACTCGAATCAGATTTGAATTTGAATAATGATTCAGTTCAAATTTTGAATCTTTCTTGAATTCAAGTCAAAGTCTAGTTCAAGTTCAGTTTGAATTTTAAATTGAACTTGAATCCAGATAAAAGTTCAATTCAGTTCAGTTTATAGTAATATTATTATAAATAATCCAGTTATACTTAACTCTTTTTATCTTTTTATTATTGATATCTTGATTTTATCATATACTTTAAGAATTTATTGTTAATATTACTATTGTAATATATTATATATTGTTACCATTCTACCTTTCATCAGTTATATCACGTTATATTTTAGCGCAGTAATGTTCATTTAAAATTTTTTCTTTTACTTTTCTATTTTTTATTTTTTTATCCAATAGCATTAATTTACATTTTTATCCAATTATTTTATATTATTATCACATCATTTTTGTTTGTATGTCATCATTATTTAATTTACCAATCATCTCATACTATTATTACATTATTTTATATTTTA